CAGCCTCAGAAACCCTGTACGGGTCACTATGAGTTGGAACTGACTCCATGGCACACTACCACCACCACCACCAAGAGCTGTCAGGAAGGGGTAATGAGGGAGTGATTGCTAATGGTTGCATGGTGTCTTTTTAGGGAGATGAAAATGTTTTGGAATTAGTGTTAGTGCTTGTGCAATCTTGTAAATATATTAAATATCATCGTACCGTATACTTTAAAAGGATGAAGATTATGGTATATAAATTAAATTTCAACAGACTAATAAATTTAAAAAGGAAAACAGTGCAGACAATGAAGAAATGAGATATGACTTGATCAATTCCGCAAAGTATGTCAACTTGAAATATAAGCAGGAACTCTAGTTTCCAGTTCTATTTAGTATATTCTATAACCATTATTTCTGCATCATTAAGACCCCAGAAACTATAAAATATACCACTGATTAAGTAATAACTTTTAAGAAAAAATAAACTAAAAAGGTGTACTTTTTTTTAACAACCAACAAAACCATATATTTATCCTTACAATTCTATGCAATATTCTTTTCAAAATTTCAATTAGCATTTAAATATAAACTTTCATATATGGGTCTAAAGGCTTCTCTGAATCAATTTTGGCCTTGGTAGCTGTGCATACCCTCACAGTGACACATGACACACCACTCTCCTTAAAACCTGTGTTCTTCATCTATACTTTCACAACACTTTTAGGAAGAATAGTATGACTTCAAGATAGACTGAAGAGTACTTAGCTATCACTCTATTTCAGAGTCCCTGGGTAGTGAAAACAGTTAATGTATTCAACTGCTAACCAAAAGGATGGAAGTTCAAGTCCACCAAGAGGTACTTGGGAAAAAAGGCTTGGGAATCTCGTTTTGAAAAATCAGCCACTGAAAAACCCACTGAGCACAGTTCAACTCTGACACACATGGGATTGCCCTAAGTCAATGTTGACTCAACAGCAATGGAAACTGGTACCTGTAGTTTACATTCAATTACTGCTTTTTCCTTCTGTGACGTCTACCATTCTGGAAGTTAATTAATTTCTCTTAAATGTCTACGCTGCTTTTGTTAGAAAAGTTTGCAGTCTGAGTGACAATATAAAAAATTTTAAACTTAATCACAAAAATCGCTCCTTAGCTTTAAAGTTCTGCACCACAGTCTGAGAAAAGTGTCAATTTATACTGCTTTGTACTGTACTGTCAGAAAACCTTTGACAAATACTTAAAGTTAAGTTTTCGTTTGAAACTGAACAGTGTATGAAGCTACCAATATAAGCGGACTTCAAAAAGTTCATAGAAAAATTCCATTTTTTAAAAAATTCCATTTTCTATAAACTTTTTAAAGTCCCCTCATACAACTAACTCAATTGAGGTGACAAGTGGAAAAATAGATATATTTGTATGTTGTGTATGGCTGCATCTGTGCATGCCCAGGCAATGACAGCCACCAGCAAGCCTCAACTCTACACGGTGGCTGCCAACTTTCTTCTGACATCAATCCATGGACTCGAGCATGGCAATAGTAGTGAGGTTGGCCCAGGATCGGGCAGTGTTTCCTTCTGCTGTGCATAAGGTCGCTATGGGTCAGTACCAACTCGATGGCACCTAAAAACAACAACCACCACCTTCTCCAGTTTAATATTGGTCAAGCATGTAAACCAAGATACATTGATAATTATTAGTAATTGGAATGCAAAAGTTGGAAATAAAGAGGTAGGATCAGTAGTTGGTTAAGTAAGACCTTGGTGACAGAAACGATGCTGGAGGTATCATGATGGAATTTTGAAAGACCAATGACTTATTCATTGCAAATACCTTTTTTCAAAATCATGAAAGGCAGTTTATACACATGGACCTCACCAGATGGAATACACAGGAATCAAATTGACTACAACTGTGGAAAGAGACAATGGGGAAGCTCAATATCATCAGTCAAACAGGCCAGATATATACTGTGGAACAGACTATCAATTGCTCATACTCAAGTTCAGGAAGACCATAGAAGAATCAATGCATTTGAATGATGGTGTTAAGAGAAGAATATTAAAAGTAAGAGGGACTGCCAGAAGAACAAACAAATCCGTCTTAGAAGAAGTGCAGCCAGAATGTTCCTAAAACACAGATGGCAATGTTATCAGGAGGCATCCTTCCTTGGACGATATCGTGATTGGTAAAGTGGAGGGTCAGCAGAAAATAGGAAGATCCCCAAGGAGATGGATAACACAGTGACATAGAAAGGGGTCAAAAACAATCGTGAGGATGGTGCAGGACCAGGCAGTGCTTCATTCTGTTGTGCAAAGGGTTGATATAAATCGGAACCAACTCAACAGCACCTAACAACAACAAAAGTTGAGGCTGAAGCTGAAGAAAATTAAAACAAGATCATAAGAGCCAAAATATAACCTTGAATATATCCCAGTTGAATTTAGAGGCCACCTCAAGAACGGATTTGATGCATTAGATACTAATGACTGAAGACCCGAAGAGTTGTGAGATAACATCATGAACATCTTACATGAAGAAGCAAAAGGTCACTGAAAAGACAGGAAAGAGAAAAAACAAAATCAAAATGGATGTCAGAAGAGACTTATCAAACTTGCACTTGAGAGTGGAGAAGCTAAAGCAAATGGAAGAAATGAGGAATTAAAACAGCTGAACAAAAATTTCAAAGGGCAGCTCAAGAATACAAAGTCAAGTATTATAATGAAATATGCAAAGACCTGGCACTGGAAAGCTGAAAAGGAAAAACACGCTCAGCATTTCTTAAGCTGAAAGAACTGAAAAAATAATTCAATTGTCAACCTGAAATACTGAAGGATTCTATGGGAAAAATACTAAATGATGCAGAAAGCATCATAAGAAGATGGAACACACAGAGTCGCTATAATAAAAAGAATCGGTCAGTGTTCAACCATTTCAAGAGGAAGCATATGATCAAGAACCAATGGAAATGAAGGAAGAAGTGCAAGCTGCACTGAAAGCAATGGTGGAAAACAAGGCTCCAGGAATAGGCTCAATACAAATCGAAATGTTTCAACAAACTGATGTAGCTTTGGAAACCCTCACTAGTCTATACCAAGAAATTTGGAAGACAACTACTGGCCAACTGATTGAAAGAGATCCATATTTGGGCCTATTCCAAAGAAAGGTGACCCAATAGAATGCAGATATCATCGAACAATATCATTAATATCACATGTAAGTAAAATGTTGCTGAAGATAATTCACAAACGGTTGAACCAGTACATTGGCAGGGAACTGCCAGAAATTCAAGCCCGATTCAGAAGAGGACTTGAAACGAGGGATATCATTACTGACATCAGATGGATCTTGCCTGAAAGCAGAGAATACCAGAAATATATGTATGCAAAGGCTTTCAACTGTGTGGATCATCACAAACTATGGATAACACTATGAAGAATGGGTAATCCATAACACTTAATTGTGCTCATGAGGAACCTGTACACAGACCAAGGGGAAGTCGTTATAACAGAACACAATGATATTGAATGGTTTAAAATCAGAAGAAATATGTGCCAGGATTATATCCTTTCATCATGCTTATTCAATCCTTATGCTAAGCACATAATCCAAGAAGTTGCATTATATGAAGAAGACCATGGATGGCATCAGGATTGGAAGAAGACGCCTTAACTTATGATATGCAGATAGCACAACCTTGTCTGCAAGAAGCAAAGAGGATTTAAAATACTTACTGATGAAGATCAGGACCACAGTCTTCAGTATGGATTGCACCTCAATGTAAAGAAAGCAAATATCCTCAAAAATAGACTAATAAATAAATCATAATGAATGGAGAAATGATTAAAGTTGTCAAAGGTTTCATTTATCTTGGGCCCACAATCAACACTCATGGAAGCAGCAAATCAAATGAGGACTGCATTAAGAAAATCTGCTGCCAAAGATCTCTTTAAAGTTCTCAAGAGCAAAAATACCAATTTGAGAGTAAGGTGTGCCTGCCCACACCGTGGTATTTTCAATCTCCTTATATGCATGCGAAAGTTGGACAATGAATAAAGAAGACAGTAGAAGAATTGATGCATTTGAATTATTGTGTCGGAGAAGAATAGTGAAAGTACCATAGACCACCAGAGGAACTAACAAATCTATCTTGTTAGAAGTACAACTAGAATGCTCCTTTGAGACAAACATGACAAGACTTCTTCTCTAATTCTCTGAACACGTTGTCAGGGGTTATCAACCACTGAAGAAGGGCATCATGCTTGGTAAAGTGGAGGGTCAGTGAAAAAGGGGAAGACCCCCAAGAAGATGGACTGACAAAGTGGCAGCAACAATGGGCTCAAACTTAACAATTGTGAGGATGGCACAGGACCAGGCAGGTGTCCTGTTTTGTTGCACACAGTGTCTCTATGAGTAAGAACCAACCTGACAGCACCTAACAACACCACCACCCCATAATGTTAAGTACGAATGTGAATCTATTAAAAAGCCAAACCAAACCCAGTGCCACTGAGTCAGTTCCAACTTACAACAACCCAGTTTAGAGTGTCTAAGGCTGAAAATCTTTATGAGAGGACAAAGCCTCATCTTTCTCCAGCAGAGCAGCTGATGGTTTTGAACAGCTGACCCTGCAGTTAACAGTTCAGTGCTTATCCAACAGGGCCACCATAGAAGTTCAACATTCTAAGATGCTGAATGGTATACCCAAATCATCCACTAAAAATATGTCATTGATACCCGCCTACCTCTCTAGCAATTGGTGGTGCTGAGTAACAGTCCAATGTTTATCTTATAGTGCCACACAGAGGTATACAAAAGGACTGAACCAGCCCTTCATGCTTTAATTTCTCATTCTTGCTAAGCCCTTAAGAGTCAGAGAGATAAGAGTGAACTTTGACTAAGCTGTTAGTCACTATGGCACCTTTAGATATTTAATTTTAGGGAAAAGAAAAATGAGAAGCTAAAAGTGCCAAGGAAGATCACAGTAACAATAAATATTTCTAGAGATTTGTACTTACAACTTGCGATTCACGAGCTTTAGGAAACATTTTGGCAACATTGAGTCCATCGATGACAATATCAAAAGGAGCACAGGACTTTACAAAGTTCTGAAATCTCTCAAGTTCCTAAAATAGAAAAGTCAGATAAAGCATTGACAAATAATTGATAAAGATTTTATTATAAATACACTGATATGATCTAAAAAATTATTTCTAAAATTCACAATTGTTGTTGATAAGTGCCGTCAAGTTGGTTCCGACCACAGCGACCCAGAATAGGGTTTCCAAGGAGCAGCTGGTGAGCTTGAACTGCCAACCTTATGGTTTAAACTGACCTTGAAGTCTAGAGTATTAACCCACAGCGCCATACCAGGACACCGTAACTCACAATACTCACCCATTAAAAACATACAAAGATGCTCTCAAAATAAAATATGAAAAAATCAGCCTAATGGATGTGTTGTTGTTAAGAGCCATCGAGTTTGTTTCGACTCATAACCACCCTGTTTAGTTTCCAAGAAGTGGCTGGAGAGTTTGAACAACCAACCTTGTGATTCAAACTGACCACGCGGTCCAGTGCTTTATCCCACTGTGCCACATAATTATCACATATACCTTATAATTCCATATTACTTTACGGCTCACAAAGTGCTTCACATGTTATCATGTTTGACTCCATTTATATGAAATATCCAGAACAGCCAAATCCATAGAGACAGAAAGTAGATTAATGGTTGCTATGGACTATGGGGGAAGAGGTCATGGGGAATGACTGTTAATGGTTACAGGGCTTCTTCTTGGAGAAATGACAATGTTCTGGAATTAGATAATGCTAAATGCTGCACTGATGTGGCACTATGAGTTAATTCACCAGACTGCAAAGTCGTTTGAACTGCAAGGTCGGCAGTTCAAAGCTCACCAGCTGCTCCTTGGAAACCTCGTACAGGATCATTATGGGTCGGAACGAACTCAATGGCATTTAACAACAACAAAGCCTGCAAAATCTTGTGAATATACTAAATACCACTGCACTGTAAAAGGGTAAGCATTATGGTGTGAGATTTAAATCTCAATTTTTTTTAAAAAAGGGGAAGAAGAAAACAACCAAGAAAATAAAGAACTGAGATTTGAGATATGACTTGGTCAAGACCCTAAAGTATGCCAACATGAAATCTAATCAGGAACTCTCTAGTCTCTGTTTTGTTTAGTATAGCCTGTAATCATATTTCCTCACTTTTAAGACATCAGAAAGGATAAGATGAACCACTGATTTAGTAATAACTTTTAAGCAAAAATAGTAAAAAAAAAAGTAGTTTTTCAGTAACCAACAAAACCATATATGAGAGAGCTTCAAAAATTTCCTGGGAAGATTACGTTATCTTTTAATTCAATTTTTCGACAAACTTTTTCTTTTTGGTATGAGGCACTTAGTTTTTAAAAAACTTTTTATTGTAAATTAAGTGAAGGTTAACAGAGATGATCATCAGTTTTACATTCAACAAATCGTATTCAATTTGTTTCATCTCAGTGATTACAATCCCCTCAATGTAACATCATGTATCCCACTTCCTCCCTGTGTTTCTTATTTCCATTCCTCCTTCTTTCCCAACCCTTCTGAACTTTATCCATGTGTGAATGTTACCCATTTGATCTCAATTGGTGGACCATTCTATGGTGTGCATCCCTCACGAGTGTTGTTGTTCTCCCTATAGACCTATCTACTTGCCTGACTGAAAGGTGAGCCTCAAGGGTGAGAGTTCAGTTACAGACCTGAAACATGACTAAAGGCCAAAGACTTGGGATTCCACCCATCTCTGTCCAACCAGTAAATTTGGTCATTTTTATGATTTTATGTTTTGTTCCATATTTTCTCCCATTCTATCTAGGGCCTTCTAATGTGATCCCTTTCAGAGCAGATGGCAAAGGTAACTGGGCACCATCTAATTCTTCAGGTCTCAATGAAGTCACGGTGATTGGTGATCCTGTGGTCCATTAGTCCATTGGATAAATTGTTTCCATGCGTCTTCAATTTTTATCACTCTTCTTTCCTCTAAACAGGCAAGGACCAATAGTTGCACCTTAGATGTCCACTCATAAGCTTTTAAGAGTCTAGTTCCACTCACCAAAGTAGGCTGTCCCATGAACTTTTTGAAGCCCCTTCATAGTTACCCATACAATTGCATACCATGTTTTGTCAGGGTCCTGCCTCGACAGGGAAGTTTGGTTCACGAAGTAGGGAGATCTGGCAGCGACAGAGATAGAAAAAGAATACACACAAAGACATGACGAGAGAGACAAAGAGACACCCTGAAACTAGAGTAGATACAAGACTGGCGGGCAGACCCTAGATTACAGGCATCATGGCCCCTGCAGGCAATAATGCACCGCCCTGCAGGCAGTAATGCACACAGGGTTCAGTCTGCGCCCTTCTTTTATTTCAGGGAGGGATCTTACACAAAGGAAGAAAGGGATTATTAAGACAGGGTACAGAAGTGAAATGTGATTAATCGTTCAAAACAGGACACCATGATTTACAGGAACAAATTCTAAAACATACATCGCAAATTGTTTTAATAATCTAACATCCCTAATTTTCCAGAAATTCAAGCAAATTGTTATAAATTACTTTTTAGGTTCAAATCCTAAGGCAGCGACTCAAGGTTTCTCAAGGCTAATTAACATACCTATAGCACTTAATCTCGAATGGGTAAAGGTGAGAAAAGGATTCAAAAGGTCTGGAAGGAGTCATGCTGTTTCAGCTACCTGGCTTAGGCCTTCAGGAGGAAGAGGGACACCTGGGGACGATTAGAAGGGCTGACACTATTATTCCTTGAACAATACTCCAGAATTTGCCAATCTACTTTGAGTGAATTCCTTGGGCAGACTGTCTCCAGAGCCCCCTTGCAAACTTGCCTTTGGAACTTTTACAGCCTCGGCCTTAGAAGAAGCTTTTGTTTTAATATTTGTCCATGGGTATCAAGGGCTCATGTATTATGTTAATATCAAATATAACAATAACTTGATAAAGAACAGTTTTGCCATGCTTGCCAGGTGGCCAGAGTTTGTTCCTCAGAGAGATTTGTTCCTAGGACCCTACGCACTGCCAACACAGTGGAGACATTGAGAGGCACATAAGAAACCATTTTCTCAGAAGCTACAGTTACTGGAGTTAGAAGCATAGAATGAAGAATAAGACCAAAGAAAATTATGCAGAGGTAGCCCAGCAGTGAGTTCGTAAAAGCCTGTGAACCCAGGATGTCAGGAAGTCACTTCCTTTGGCCCTCAGGGTCCCTGGCTAGCAATTCTGGGTGGAGCCACCGTGTTGGATTTTCGTCCATGAAACAGGGCCTCAACATCTCAGTGATTGCGGTCCCCAACAATGTTTTTATTTCAGAATCACAATTAGCAATAAATATAAGCCTTTATATGTGAGTCTAAAGACTTCTTTGAATCACTTTTGGGCTTGACAGTTGTGCAGTGACATGTGACATACCACTCTCCTTAAAACTTTATCTGTACTCTATATCACTTCTGGACCAACAGCATGATTCCAAGACAGATAGAAGAAAACTATGATTGTACTTCAGAATCCCTGGATGGTGGAAACAGTAAACATGTTCAGATGCTAATCAAAAGGTTTTGGTGTTGGAGTTCACCCAGAGACACATGGAAAGAAAGGACTAATGGTCTAATTTTGAAAAATCAGCCATTAGAAACTCTATGCAGTACAAGTAGCATCTGACCTAGCACTATTCACTCCTACTGAAAAAACTGAAAGTAGGAAGGAACTCAGATACTTGTACACCAATATTCATTGTAGCACTATTCACAACAGTCAAAAGATAGAAACAACCCAAGTATCCATTAACAGAAGAATGAATAAATAAAATGTTGTTGTAGTTGTGTTGTGAAGTGCCAGAGAGTTGGTTCCGACCCATACTTACATACTACTATATAATAGCTTTTTTATGTCTGACTTATACTACTATATAAGTATTGTTGTTTTGTTGTTGTTAGGTGCCATTGAGTCGGTACCGACCCATAGTGACCTTATGCACAGCAGTACAAAATACTGCCTGATCCTAGGCCAACTTCATTATTGTTGCCACGCTTGAGTCCATCGATGCTGCTTTAGTGAGCTGAAATGGTCTGGTATTGGTACAAATTGACTTAGTGGACTAGTGCTTACCCTACAACACCACACCAGGGGATATTGTGCCTTTGAGTCGGTTCCAATCCATAGCGACCCTGTACAGGGTTTCCAAGGAGCAGCTGGTAAGCCTGAACCTCTGATCTTGCAGTTCAAACCAACCTTGAAGTCCAGGGCATTAACCCATAGTGCCACACCAAGGGATACTAGATGATTTAAAATCTGGAAAGGTGTGTGCCAGGGTTGTATCTTTTCACCACCATACTTATTCAATCTGTATGCTAAGCAAATAATCTTAGAAACTGGATTATATATGCAGAAGAACATGGTATCAGGATTGGAGAAAGACTCATGAACAACCTGAGATACAACTTTGCTTGCTGTAACCAAAGAGGACTTAAAATATTTACTGATGAATATTAAAGACTACAGCCTTTAGAATGGAATGCACCACAATGTAATGAAAACAAATATCCTTACAAATGGAAATCAATAACATCATAATAAGTGAAGAAAAGATTGAAGTTGTCAAAGACTTCATTTTGCTTGAATCCACAATCAACACTCACAGAAACAGCAGTCAAGAAATCAAATGAAGTATTGCATTAGACAAATCTACTGCAAAAGACCTCTGTAAAGTGTTCAAGAGCAAAGAGAACAGTTTGAGCACTAAGGTTTGCATGACCCAAGCCATGGTATTTTCAATTGCCTCATATGCATGTAAAAGTAGTCAATGAATAAAGAAGACAGTAGAAGAATCAATGCATGTGAGTTATATAGTGTCGGAGAAGAGTATTAAAGGTATCATGGACTGCCAGAAGAACAAACAAATCTGTCTTAGAAGAAATGCAGCCAGAATGCTCCTCAGAAAGTCATGATGGCCAGATTTCATTTCTCATACTTTGGACATGTATGCCAATTCCTGGAGAGGCACCTCATGCTTGGTAAACAGGGTCAGGGAAAAAGAGGAAGATCT